TCTTGACACTGTTTGTTGAATTTGATATACTGGATTTAAAATTATATATTTGGCGACCGCTTTCCTTGCAGCAAGAAACCCCTCCAGCTGGTATCTCGTGGGGTCTTTGGGAGTATTCAAAAGACACTTTGAGCAACAGATGTTCTCCTATCTGCACCAAGTCAGACGTCCTATTTGCACACAGGTGATATATAAGCTGTGCCCAGGGGAAACAGCAGGCCCTTGAATACGGTGGATTTTTTTCAGAGTTGTCTATTTGTCTTGCTTTTTTGTTCCACCTTTATTCTTCTCCTGGAGGGAATTTCCTAATAGGATTAATAAATGAAAAATATAAATAATGTGACCACTGAAATGTAGATTTTCTAGGAATGCAATGTATTACTGGCTTGGTGGTGGATTAGCTGTGCGATGCCATCTGTTAAATGGCCACTTCACATGCTGCCAGGAGAGGATGTCACAAATTACAAGCCTGAGCTTTCAGCTGCAGGCCTAGTTAGCCATTCATGAGACCCTGGTGTCTCGACCAAGGGGCACAGCTGAGGGAGGAGATAGTGACCTGGGAATATAAGTAACCTCCCACCATAGCACTGATGGCATGTGGCACAGGACCCTCTGGTTGGCCTGGCCCTGTGCTATTTTCTCTGCGTTTTTATTATTTTATTTTATTTTAGACAGAGCCTCCCTCTGTTGCCCAGGCTGGAGTACGGTGGTGTGATCTCAGCTCACTGCAACCTCTGCCTCGGATTCAAGAAGCGATTCTCTTGCCTCAACCTCCTGAGTAGCTGGAATTACAGGCATTCACCACCACGCCTGGCTAATTTTTTGTATTTTTAGTAGAGACGGGTTTTGTCATGTTGGCCAGGCTGGTCTCAAACTCCTGACTCCAAGTGGTCCACCTGGCTCAGCCTTCCAAAGTGCTGTGATCCACCTGCCTTGGCCTCCCAAAGTGCTGGATTGTAGGCATGAGCTACCATTCCTGGCCTTCTCTGCAGTTTAGAGCTGAGTTTTGAAGCAATGTTTTCTTCCTTACTGATGAATTCACTGCTGATTTTTTTCATGAAATATCTTCCAGTGAAGATGGAAAAGGCAAGGAGATCTTTCCCCAGCTTTAGATCGGTGCGGCTGAGGACCTGGTTGCCGAAATTCTCAATAGTTATTGGATAGCTTGGGGAATTTGAAATTTGAAAAGAGTAGGGTGGAGGCAGGAAGGAGAGAGGAAGAGGATAATACTTTGGGGTAAATGAGGCGGGCCCTTAAGCAACAGTTTTAGGCTACTGGGGTATGTGTGCAGGTTCCACCATTTTGGGGAATTATTGGCAAGGTTGGAGGAGCCCCATGCATGTTTTGGGAGCTGGGACTTCCTGCTGGAGAGAACTGGTCTCTGCAGCATCTTGGTGGTCCATCAGAATGGCTCAGGAGGCTTGAAGTCCTAGATGAGTGCCTTACCAGTTCTGTGACCTTGAGCAAGTTACTTAGCAGTTACGTAGCATCTCTCTGTTTCCTCATTGATTAAATGAGAAGATAGGTGATCTGGTCTCTAGAGTTACTTCATATTTTATAAATGACTCTATTTCAGAATCAAAAGCTTTATAAAGAAATTCTGTGCTACATTCATTCAGTGTCATTTTTGACATCAGCCAAAGAAGGGAATAGAATCTGATGACCTTGCCTGCATCATAGACCGTCCTTCAACCTTTTCTAAAAAGGAGGACCTGAAGAAGCAGGGGATGATGTCAGGAACCACTCACCTCCTCCTAGGGAGTAAGACACAACCCTACCATTGTTGTTGCAGAGGCGAGGAGTCCTAAGAGGCCAATAGGGACTGCCAACCTAGAGACGGCTTCTCCCTGTTCCTTCCTTACCCTTGCCCACCTTTCCGTTCAAACCTCTTCCTCCGTGTTATCAACCACTTCCATTTAGAACAAGGCTGTCAAGGACAGAGGCATATTTGGGGGAGTTGGTCTTGACCTGACCAAACCCCGAAGTGCAAACCTGCAGAGCTGTCGGGCAGGGGAAGCCAGCCCACGTGGTCAGGATGGTGGACGAGGAGGGAGAGGCTAGGTGGAGGTGGGAAGATTGGCTCCAGGGACCAGGATTCTCAGGTAGCTCCAAAAGGTCTACTTCTAAGGCGGTTCTGAGGAGAGAAATGAGGTTGTGAGTGTGGATCTGCCACTGCAGCTGTATGGGCGAAGTATGGCTAGGCCTTTCAAAAAGGCTTTGATTTCTTTGGAACCCACCGTATTTCACGGAGAGAAACGAGCTTCTGCTGCTCATTCATCCAACGATTCATTCAACAAGTGGTCACTGACAGCCTGCAGCCTACCAGGCTCTGTGCATTCTTATGAATCCAGTGGTGGCCAAAAGATGATAAAACCCTTGCTTTCAGGAGTTTCTCATGGAAGAGACAGCACTCAATAAATATGTGAAAAATTATAAAAGAACGTCAAGTGATGAAAGGAAGAAAAACAGCCGAGTGAAGTGATGGAGCGTGCAGGGATGGCTGCTTCCACTGGGTGGTGAGAGAGGCTGCTCTAAAGAGGGGACATTTCAGCTGAGACTGAAATGGAGGAATCAAGCCCTGGGGACTTCTGGGGTAAAATCTGTCCCCAGGCTGTGGGAACAAATCTGCAAGAGCTCTGAAGCAGGAGGGAACCTCTGGTGTTCAGGAATAGCAACCATGTGGCTCCAGCAGAGTGAGAGAGAGGAAGGGTGGCAGGAGAGGGAGCCCTAAAGGCAACGTGATCAGCCCTTGGGCCACACTTGGGACCTCACGTTTCATTCTGAATTGATGGAAAACATGATGCTGTCTGGACTTCAAAGCATCCCTCTGGTGGTGTCTGGAGAATAGGCTACGGGAGTGGGGAAGAGCAGCTGGAGACAGTAAGGTTATTTCCATTGTCCGGGCTGGAGCTGACAGTAGCAAGGGGCAGGCTAGCCACAGAGATGACAAAAAGTGGTGGTGTCCCAGGAGCATTCCGAAAGCAGGAGCCAGCAGGACTTACTGATGAATTAGATCTGGGTTGTGAGAGAAAGAGAGAATCTGGCTGTAACTCAAGCGTTGAGTCCAAGCAACTAGGCAAATGGTGGATCCACTCAACCAAGACAGGAGGCTGGAGAAGGAACAAGCTGGAGGGACGAGAAGTGACTGCTGGGACATGTGAGGCCCAAGATGCCACAAGACCACTTCCAGGTGAACAGGACAGGCAGGCAGGTGGAAAAGTTATTTATCTCTTCTCTCCAGGAGCAGGAGGGTCCCGAATTGTCCAGAGTGGATCATTGCTGATCCTGATCAGGATGTCGAGACGATCGTCTCAGGGAAAACAGGAGCGTTTCTATTTCTAGGCTTTCCAGGCACACACAGCTATACTCAGGCACCGAGTGAAGTGTCTGTATTCAGGGCTGGCTGTGGATTGGGAGGCCTCACTTTGCACCATGCTGTGGTTGTGAATAGCTGCCCGCATCACTGGGCTGGAGGTATCTGTGGAACAGACCGCCTGAGACTAGATCGATTCTGTGGCGCAGGGCTCCACCTGTATCCCGAACCACTTTCTCCTGGACAGATGATTCGGTCTAGTTACTCCTGGTTTGGGAGAGCGCACCACACAGTCGTGGCCTCTCATCGCAGGCCACCTGCCCTCCCACCTGTGCCTGCCTCCAGCTTGCAGTGTCCCCAACCTGGCCTGCAGTTTCCCTTGAGGGTGATTGTGTAGCTCATCCTGCTGACAGGCTGACTCCCAGTGGAGGCCTGTGGGCTCTCCCTGCCACTGCTCTCCTCTGCCCTTGGTCATTCTCAAGCCATCTGGTTTCAGCCTGTTGCTCCTATGTTATCTTTGAGTCCTCCCAGACACGTGATTTCTTGCCACCGAGGAGCTTAAATGATTCTCAGTGGAAGTGCCTTTCACAGAATAATTTTCAGCTTCTCCCTGGAGAAGGTAACACACTCAAAGATACCCAGTGATGACCAATTAATTGATAATCAGCCACTTAATCCAGTCTTCCCTATAGGTCTCTGCTGACCTGCAAATGGCCAAAAGACAAAGACAGTGACTCTTTGGGGTGACTTTTAGTCTTTTTTTGAACTCTGTTTGTAAGAAGAGGCTGTTATGTTTATATGGGCCCATAACCCTAGCCACCTCTGGGCCCAGATCTTTCTTTGGCTAACTTTTCAGGGTCAAGGCTGATTGACAGTTGATAACTTTCAGATCCACATCCCCTCCTCTGTTTTTAGTTGTTTCTTATCACACCAGGCACCCCTGAGGTGCCACATTTCCATACAGTCTATGTCCCTTTGCTTGACCTGCAGGTATAAAGTCATCCTTCAGTTCACAATTTTATGATGTCTATTAAAGTCACTATAATTCATGAATTGAGAGTTGCCACAAGCCTTAACATGATCACCACAGTAATGTCAGTACTTTCTACATTGTATCATAGACCTCCTGGGGAAAGCAAGTTGGCAATTTAGCCTCTGCTCTTCATGGAGAGGGGGACGGATTGTACTTATCAATAAATATTTGATTAATTAGGCAAACTAGGGCTTGGTCCTGCTACTAACTTTTTAGTATCCTTGGGCAAGTCATTTAATTTTTCTGGCTCTCACTTCCACAACTGTAAAATGATTCATAGTCCCAAAGTTCCCTTGCAGCTTTAAAGTGCTAAGAAAAAATATATATGTGTGTGTGTGTATATATATATATACACACACACACACATATATTTTTTTTTTGATTTTCCAAACAAAACAGAAACAACACTTTACTCAGAACTCTTGCTTAGAAACAAGAGAAGATGATTTGTGCATCTTCTGAGACATACATCAAGGTGACCTTCTGAAGCTTCCTTAATTTTTTGATGTCACATCCTTTGCCAGGTTCAAGTCAGAAGCAAAAAATTTGAGGACCGACGGACCAGGAGTTGAGTTATCTAAGTGGACGATGTATTTACCTTCCAGGCTGAGAAAAGTTTATATAACTGAATAGAATAAACAGGTTTGCTGCTTCTCTTATCATCTAAAGGTGTCTGGAAACTTTGGCAACATGTCATGGAATCCAGATTTTGTTTGTGGAGATCTGTTGGTGGTATTGGTTTCATCTGCGTTTCTGGTTTTTGTTGTACGACTGGTCATTCTTTTAGTAGATGGTCTTGAAATGAATGACTGTGTTGAAGTGTCTTTCGCGCTTTTTGGTCTGTAGGTTTTTAAATCACTATTACAACATGCCTTTGGCTCTTTATAGACCTGGCTGTCACTGTCTCGTAGAAATACCAGCTTGGGCGGCATCTTCTTTGTATTTTTAATTGACGTTTTCAATTTTGAAGATGGATCTTTGCCTGATGGAAACATTTCATTCAATGAGTCTGTGTCACTTTCTTCACTGGTAGACTCAGCCTCCTCATATGTGTCATGGCAGGGTGTTGTGACCTTTGAGGTATTCACATCTGTTTTTCTCGTCCGCTTCATAACTTCTATTCTCTTTTTCTTTCCTCGGCGACCTTTTAAATTTTGTGACATAATTCTGTCGTATTCTTTCTTGTGTGTATATATATATATATTCCACCATGTTTATTGAAACTAGCCATAGAAGAAGACTCCTACTTGATCACTATCTAATATTTAACATATAGAGGGTATAAATAAAACCAATTTGGAGAAAGAAAAATATTGGTAGCTCCACAGCATAGGGTCGAATAAAAGCAAATGCCATGTTACACCCTCTGGAGCCCAGGGTGGAGTGGGTCATCTAACCAGGCTGAACACGGCCTTTTAGTGCCTGAATCAAAATTAGTAGGCTATGAAGAGACTTTCAAGATGCCTCTTCCAAGTTGATTCAAGCACAGCCAAGTGTGGGGAAACTAGGAATCTAGAAACTCAGTAGAAGTTATTGTCAATATTTCTATTTTCTTCCTCCCTTTTTCAAAACCTAAGAGGGCCCAGGAGGAAACTAGAAAACAGATATTTGATGGATTACTGTGTCTTTAGGGAAACATCCATCTTGTCTTTCCACTCGTCTTTCCTATTCTCATACCTGCTTTTCAGTCTCTTTTCTTTCCTTCATTTAGTCATTGACTACTCATTCAGCAAATACAAGGATGGATAAGAAGTGGCTTTTGATGACACAGTGAATACATTAACACAAATGTCAGTTACCTGACACAGGATAGGGGCCACAGGGAGGAATTACTGACAGTCTGCCAAAGCTCCTCCCAACTAGAAACACAGATACCCTCCTCTGATGGAGGTGGATGATGAGCAAGAATATAGTCACTCAGCTATCCATCACTTACCCTAGTGCCATATCCTTATGTCTTCCTTCTGCTGGACTCATAGGATATTGGAACCGCAGGCAGAGCCAAGATCATCCTCTGGGAGAGCTCAGCCGGGGCCCATGGCTGGGGAGCTGCTGGTGCTGGTATCCATGTGCAGGAGTTGCAAGAGGCTGGGACAATGTGGCCTCAGAGCTTCGGTTTCTTGAGCCGGGATTACAGGTAAATTCCTTATTCTCATTTTTTCTAGAACTCTCCTTGGTGTGTTGTAGTAGGAAAAAAAAAAAAAAAGACAAAGTTTTGGAGCCAAGATCTATGTCCAGATCTCAGCTCTACTACCTACAGTGTGCCACCTTGGGTGAGTTACTTAATCTCCCTGAACCTCAGTTGCCTCATGAGTGAACTCTCAACTCAGGAGTGCTTGTAAAAATATGAGATAATCCATGCACAGTTCTCTGTCACATGGTGGGTGTTTAGTAAGTGGTGGCTATTGTGACTAAGATGGTTGCTGGTTCTCCTACCACAGAGTGTTGGTCCTGCTGCCTTTTATTGGCTCTATCAAAATTCATAGAGTCTAGAGAGACTTTAGAAACCCTCTCTCCCAAAGTGATTCAAGCACAACCTCTTATGGGGGAACCAGACATCTAGAAAATTAATGGAAGTTATTGTCCATTTTTTCCCACATACTTTCTCCCTTTTCCAGAAAATCAGGGGGAAATGTGAAGCAGGAGAGAAATATGAAGCAGATGTGTGATGACTGGTAGGGTGTCACCAGAGAGCCTGAGCAGCTTTGTTTATTTCATCTGTAGCAGGAGGGGTTGGTTCTTCTTAGCTGGGGCAGTCTAAGAGTCAGTGGGACAACAGGCTACTTCCAATCTCCAGCTTCATCTGGACACCAGCCATTGCCAGAGGAGTGATACCTTCAGGAACCTCTTATCCTCCCCCCGTGGGTGTCTAGCATCCCTGAGAAGGAATGGTAATGGTCACTTTCTCTGGTCTCTGTCTCCGTCTCTTGGTCTTGTCCTGTAGGACCCCATGTGGTTGATCTGGGAAAAGATGCAATTAGGGAAGATTTGCATGGTTCTTGAAGATCCCTCCCACTCTAAACTAAGCCCCTGGACACACTGGGTCATTTCACATTTCTTTACTTCCGCCCTGATTTTCATTGCCATTTGATTTGTTTGTTTATTTATCATTTGTCTCTCTTCACTAGAACATCAATTCCATGAGAGCAAAGACCTCATTGTCAGACCCACAACTGTGACCTCCAATGTCTAGAGGGCAGCGGAGCACAGAGCAGGCATGGGGTAAACCTTTGCTGAGCGAGTGTGTGAGTGAAGAATGTGAGGCTCCACCCACACACAGGGGCTGGGGCCACAGGAAGCCAGAGCATCTAGACTGGGGCAACAGCTAAGAGTGGAGGCGTCTCACACCAGTTAGAATGGCGATCATTAAAAAATCTGGAGACAACAGATGCTGGAGAGGATGTGGAGAAATAGGAACACTTTTACACTGTTGGTGGGAGTGTAAATTAATTCAACCATTGTGGAAGACAGTGTGGCGATTCCTCAATGACCTAAAAATAGAAGAAATCCCATTTGACCCAGCAATCCCATTACTGGGTATATATCCAAAGGATTATAAATCATTCTACTGTAAGGACACGTGCACACGAATGTTCATTGCAGCACTGTTTACAATAGCAAAGACCTGGAACCAACCCAAATGCCCATCGATGATAGACTGGATAGGGAAAATGTGGTACATATACACCATGGAATATTACGCAGCCATCAAAAACGATGAGTTTGCGTCCTTTGTAGGGACATGGATGAACCTGGAAACCATCATTCTCAGCAAACTGACACCAGAGCAGAAAATCAAACACCGCATGTTCTCACTCATAGGCGGGTGTTGAACAATGAGAACACATGGACACAGGGAGGGGAGCATCACACACTGGGGTCCGTTGGGGGGAAATGGGGGAGGGACGGGGAGGTGGGGAGGTGGGAAGAGATGGCATGGGGAGAAATGACAGATACAGGTGAGGGGAAGGAAGGCAGCAAACCACAGTGCCATGTGTGTACCTATGCAACAATCTTGCATGTTCTTCACATGTACCCCCAAACCTAAAATGCAATTAAAAAAAAAGAATGGAAGCAAACACCTGGCTCGTGAGTGGCCGCGGAGAGGCCACACAGCACAACCCTTTTCAAACTGCAGTTAAATAACTTTGACATCCACAGTTGAGCATGAAGCAAATCAGATAAACTAGTCCCTTAGCTACATGTCACCTGTGTGGATTATTGGTTGGGTTTTCCCCCTTTTGTCTTCTTTAGGCAGATCTGGTGTCCTGAGAGTAGGGTCACCATTTGGCAGAGGAAAGAGGTGCAGATAAAGTGGGCTGATCTCAGGAAAGGAAATGACCTCAGTGGTCTCAGATGCTGCCCACAGCAGGGTCCGATGGCCAGTTGAGTTGAGTGTATGGGAGGCTTGTGGCAGACCAGTAAGGCAAAAGACCCCTCTGGCACTGGAAATAAGAAAATAGATGCCCACCCAAAAAGATGACCAGTATGGGTGCTTTCTCCACCTCTGCCAGGGTTTGCTTCTCATTCAGCAGTCTCCCATCTCACTTCCCATTGTTTTACTGAGACATGGCTTCTTCATGCCTTGCCATATCCTACCTGCTTTTAGTTGTTCCTAAGTGACTTGAAGTAATTCCCAAATTTAACCCTTTTAGGTTTTATTTTCATCTCAACCAACCTGGTACCCCACCCTGCTATGCCCTCATTAGACACAGAAAGGATGAAGACAGGGAGGGCATCATCTACTTGGTACATCCCATGTGGCTTCAGTCGCACCCTCCGCTGGCTTTTGGAACAACCACAGAGGTATGCAGGTGTGAGGGGGCAGGTGGTGTCCTCAGGAAACTGAAGGGGATGAGGGCTTCTGGGCCCTTCAATCTGGCTTGCTCAAATGTCATCTAGTTTGGCTCTATTCATTTTAGCTGCAGCGGATGGGACTATATTTGCCCATTCATTCGAAAGTACTTCATTTTCCTTCTTCTCATCTATTTTTTAATCTTCCCCATCCTTGGCAGTAGAAGTGAACCACTCTGTCCATGGCTTAGCAGCTGGGGGCTCAGTATTTTGCTTCCTGAGTATAGGCAGAGGTCCAAGTGCCCTTGGGTTTCCAAGATAGAATCGCTCACAAATCTGCTTGTTATTGATGTTTGATCAGTGAATGTACAGGGATGCAATTGTAGGCAAAAGAATGTGGATTTGGAGAGACGGCTCTGGGTCTCACATTCCTCAGGCCTGTGGTGAGGGTGAAAGAAACCCACCCCCTTTCCCAGGCAACCTGCTGCTCATTGTGTCACTGTCTATCTGAACTGAAGATTGTAACAGAGGATGAAAAGCAGATCAAAACAAAATTCCCCCGAAACCATCAACACAAAAGTAGGAGCTACAGGACTCCAGTCAGCTGGAGCAGAGAAGAAAAGTGGAGCAATTACTCCACCAAGTGGTGGGTCTGTGAATGAGCGCTCGGCTGCTGGTTTTTCATTAACCTTATTATCCTCAGAGTTACGGAGCCCCAACCTGGCGTAGGTTCATGAGAGCGTAGGGTTAACGGGGCCGGCTAAACCAGAAGTAAACATCAAACAACTGTGCTAGGAGGGGTGGCAAGCCAGAGAATGAGGATGGAGCAGCAGAAATAAATCCTCTCTAAAGGGAAAACAAAAAATACTGTATTATTTAGTCCATGACACAAGGAAGTGTTTTGTAAAATGCCATTCTTACACCGCCCGCATCAGAACCACCTGGAGAGCTTGGCAAAGGTGCAGATTCCTGGGCCCATCTCAGCCCTAATCCGGGGCTGGTGACTGGGAGTTTGTATTTTTAACAAGTGCCCTAGGTGAGTTCTAAGGTACTTTAAAGTTTGGGATCAGAAATCGGGAAGCCAGGAAGTGAGGTGCATGATTTACTCACTCTGAAAAAAAGAAAGTGGAGGCAATGAACAGGAGGAAGAACAGTCGTGTTTAAAAGAGATAGAAATGTTGGGTTGAGTGTGGTGGCTCATGCTTGTAATCCCAGCACTTTGGGAGATCAAGGCGGGCAGATCACAAGGTCAGGAGTTCGAGACCAGCCTGGCCAACATGGTGAAACCCCATCTCTACAAAAAATACAAAAATTACCCTGGTATGGTGGTGTGTGCCTGTAGTCCCAGCTACACCGGAGAGTGTGGCAG